CCAGGTACTTCATTTTGGGAACACTACAACATGTAGAGTTGAGAGCGCTCATAGAGCTACCAAGGACTGGATTGATTCATCGACCGCTGCTTTGGATACACTGTTCGCTAGACTGAACAAGTCAATTGAAACTCAGAAGAACGACATCAGGAACTCTCTAGAGGACTCCAGACGACGACATGGTACGATGTATATCCATTTTATATTTAAGATTCTCCATGGTCGTGTGTCGCACTACTGCTTGGGGTTGATTCTCACTGAGCTGAACAGGGTGAGGGACTTGGCTGACGAAGTGTATGCTCGGTGTGGGTGTACTATTTCAGTAACTCATGGATTACCTTGCGCATGCACCATTCACCGCGTTATTACAGAAGAAAGGGCGTCGTTACATGTTGATCAGGTCCATTCATTCTGGAGGACGCTTGTTATTGGTGAGCATGCAGACAATCAAACGGCCGACCGTGAACAGGAGGAGTTGGAGCAGTTCCGTTCGATGTACGACCGAGTGTCCTCCAGCCATCCTTCTATTATTCGTGACGCTACTCATGTACTTCATGACATGTTCCACTCGTCTAACTTAGATTATGAGGAACCCGAAGGAGTTGACCGTCCTCGAGGTCGACAACGGCGGAACAGGAGTGCGTTTGAGTATATCCGTGGTCTTGGTCGTGGTCGTTCTCGTGGTCGGACATCGTCATCTAGTCGTAGTCAATCTTCATCGTCTGTGAATATGCCCCTGAGAACTGGTACGTTTTGGTTGTTTTTATTGCACATAGTTTTAAAGTGTTACTCCTGCCTTCTTAACTGTCTATAATTAATTATATGGTGAATAGGAAGAAACGATGTTGATCAGTTTCCGTACAAGGAAAGGATACCTGCGATCATCATGTCGTACTTGGAAGGGTGGAATGATGTAATCGGAGATGGTAACTGCGGATTCCGGGTCGTGGCTGATGTTTTTCAAATGGGCGAAGACAACTACGGTTTGGTGCGTGAGTTGATGTACAGCGAAATTGCCTCTAACCGAAATGTTTATCGTCATGTGTACCAGGATGACTTGGATGGCGCTCTGCGGCGTATCCGGTGGGGAGGTGGACCTTGCGGCGAAAATCATTATTTTGACGCGCCCCTAGATCTGTTTGCCGTTGCAAACATTTACAAATGCGCAGTCATGCATTTCGGCCTGGGAGTGCATAGTCAAGCTTATTATCCTTGTACCACGGTTCTCCCTTGGCGGTCGCGTGAGACTGTCACCACACCGGTCAGAGAGCTAGCTATTGCGTTTCTTGGGTCGTCATACAGACATTTCATCCGACTAGACATGTCAATCGATTTTCCGGTGCCACCGATTATATCTCGGTGGTACAACATTCGCACAGCGAGCGTAGAGGGTTGGGATGCGCTATATAATGACCGGATCCACGAATGGAACACCCTAGCTGCATTTTAGTTTTTCATGTTTACATTCTTTATTTGTAATCTTATTTGTACGTTGCTCTTTTAATGAGAACATTAATATTTTATATTGTATTGCTTACTGTATTCTATATGTTGCATGGGTAAGTTGCGCGGATCCACGAACGGTTATATCAAAATTTAAAAACAGCACTGATAATATGTTTAAGTTGGAAGCTAAAAGAACAATCTAAAATGTTACAATTTTACAACATAATGTCCAACATAATGCTCTATAAATAAAATACAATAACCATCAGTAATCCCTCCTCGACGACGAATCCCACTGCGCAAGGGTCTGTTCCAGACTATCAACAACAGCTCTCCCTGTTGCACTCATGTTGTCCTTCTCAAGAGAGAGTTTCTGTACGTCTTGCATTATCTTTCCCATCCACTGCATACAACAAAAAACAGAAGATGAAATACAATAACAACAAATAAAACTTAATTAAAAGACAACGATAAATATAATAAAAGACATACCGCTTCCGTGGCAGTAGGCGGTGGCACATAATCATCATCGCTGTGGTCGAGATCAGCGATCAACCTCGGGTGCGAATACCGGTTGAACCATTCCATGTAGTAATGGTCACACATGGGAGTAACCCCAGAGGGCGGCCGCTGCAACTCCGCAGTCCATAAGCGGGCCACCATCGGAAACTGGTCCCACGTCCCGGTCATGATATCCGGCCATTCCACGACGTACTCCCTCGACGATGCAGGTCGGATCGCCTTCATCGGGCACGCCGGGGGAGGAGGGACAACTTGGACAAATCCAAGCTGGCGAAGACAACGCTGGGGCATGTACGCCTCGACGATGTCACGATACTGAATGAGTCCCGTGTACAGGGTCCTGGGTACCCTAACACTAGGGTTCGGGCCGAAAGGCATCCAGTTCACCTGTACAATAACAACATATAAAATTTAATAACATGAATATAATATGTGCAAATAATAAAATGTAGACTCTATAAATAAACGTTACCTCTAAGGGGGACAGCCTGTCCAGCAATAACCGTATCGATCGGAGGCGGTCAACGGACTTCTTCTCCGAGCGCGGACTCCACGCACAAGCACGCGGCATCCCCTCATCAATAGGAACTGGGTCACGATGTGGTCGCAATGCAGGAAAGTACTCGTATATCCAGGTCTGCAATAGAGTCAGACACCCAGTGATACCTGCCGCGTCAGCCCGACTCGCAAATCCTAGTTGGCGATACAAATACGCCAACGTAGCCGATCCCCAGGAAAACTGGCCTACACTGTCGGGGTCACACGCCTCTACGATGTCGCGTGGCCTGAGCTTGTTTCCGCCGCTCTTATCCGGAAACAAGGTACATCCGAGGAGAAGAAAAACATAAGCACTCATCTGTGCGTCGGGCGTCCTACGTGCACTCGGGTACAAACACCGCTGCAACACGGATGCGATCTTCACACCTCCGTGTTCCCAAACACCTAGCGCCTCGGTGTACAGTGCAGCCCTGTCCACCGCCAACAACTCCGCCAGCGAATCTGCCTGATCCGCATCAGCCACAGCACAAAGTCGTTTACCCTCAACACGAATCCCCAGAATGGCCTCGACGTCATGTAACATGATCGTCATCTCACCGAACGGAAGGTGGAAAGAGTTTGTATCCGGCTGCCATCGATCAATGAAAGCCGTGATCAGCGTACTGTCAATCTTATCGTGCATGGTGGTAGGAACGTGCTTCACCCCAGTGCCCTCCAGTCGCTCGAACATCTCGCTCTCCGCCGGCCAGGCCTCAGCCCATGTACGCAAAAAGCTACAAGTCTTTTCCCGGATATGACATTTCAACAACCCCGTAACTGAAGGCCTCTCCTGGTCCTCCCAAATACGGGCAGCTATGTGTCCTAGAAAGCTAGGAATCACACTCCCGTCAACAGGCCCACCGGGCACCTCACTCCTAACAACCCAAGAATCATTACCGGCCCTCGACCGTTTCCTGCTTGCCCCAGATACAGTGGACGCAGATGATGTGCCAGATCTACTAACAAACCTACCACCCCTACCCTTACGCACCTCCACCATATGCGTCTCGTACATGTCATCAACCCTCTGACTGAATGGACCGTAATCATCATACGGTCCACTGCCATCGTCCACATCCTCATCCTCATCTGCGCCCTCCTCCTGCTCCTCCTCCTGGTCACCCTCCTCAGCATCATCATCGTCGTCGTCATCCTCATCCCGACGGTGGATCCGTTCTCTACGAACTGAGGCCGAAATACCACGGGATCTGACATGTCTATACCCCGACCTCTCCACTGAATAACTTCTACTAAGAAGCTCTATATTCTTCCCCGCACCATGACGACCCTACACAAAATTTTAAAATATATAAACATACAAAAATTTATACGATAAATAATCATCATCGCAAATCAAATAAACTAAAAACATACAAATAATTGTAAACAAAATATAAACGTAGAAAAAATACAACGAAATTGAAAAAATTTATAAAAATAAACAACAAAATATAAAAACAATTCAAAATTATATTACAAAAAAAAATAAAATAAAAATAAATTAAAAACAATTTTTTAAAAAAATAAAAAAAATTGGGGGGGGGGGGGCGCCCTGGCTGGACGCCCAGCCGGCGATGGTGGCGCCAGATGCAGACGCCGCCACCAGTTGGCTGGCGCCTGGGCTGGACGCCACAGCCACGGCTGCGGCGCCTAGAATAAACGCCACAACCGTGGCTGTGGCGTCCAGCCCAGGCGCCAGCCAACTGGTGGCGGCGTCTGCATCTGGCGCCACCACCGCTGGCTGGGCGTCCAGCCAGGGCGCCCCACCGCGTTCACGGCGGTTTTCCCCTTTTTTTTTTTTTTTTTTTTAAACAAAATGTACCTTTCCTCCTTGGGACATCCTTCCCTCCGCCGCCGCCGCCACTTCCTTGCCTTGCCGCCTCGACATTGCCGTTATTTGATTTTTTTTTTAGAGAGGTTGAAAGAAGATGAGCAATGAGAGTGTGAGTGATGAGAGTGTGAGTGTTTTTTTTTTAAGGTCAAGGGCAATTTTGGGAAACCAAGTGAATTTTGTGGGCTTTATGTAGTAATTTGTGGGTGATGTTTAACAAATCCCTAAAAATTTAGCGCGAAAGCTAGTATGCCTCTAAAAAATGGGGGGAGCTGAGTATTAATTTTTTGCTTTATTCCCAATAGTAACCTTAAGGTTACATTCAAGGTGAATTTCCAACCAGTTACACCAAGGTTTGCTTTGTTAATACTAACTAGCCTTCTGGCCCGTGTAATGCACGGTTTATTTATAGGTATACTATATAAATAATTATTTTTTATATATTATTGGAAAATGAATAGTTTATAGAGGAGAAGAAGAGGTAAAAATTAAATGCAATTGTAGTAGAAATTAAATTGGAGGAAAGTGAACCAAACAACATTCAATAATTTATACATGTATTGAATTAAAGGTTTTTTTTTTTTATATGAGAAAAGGGATTAAAATAAGGAAGATTAAATGAAGTGACATGTGGCATTGGAGAAAAAAAAATGAAATGTACATGTGACATTATAGGGATGATGGTTTTTGTTTTTAAATACCAACAAGTATAGATAGCTAGCACAATTATTCACTAGCATTAAACATCAACTACAAAATTAAGTACAATGATTATGGTAAAACATGATCTATAATTCGTTTACAATGGTTGAAGGTACATAAACTAGTCTATAAACCAAATTTCTAACGGACTTATCTCTCATGCATCAAAGGCAAAACATTCAATTATACATCGCAATTTGAAGTCACGACCAATAAGTTGAAGAAATGCAAAACAAGCTGCCTTCCAAAGTAAATTCCATTAAGCTCCCAAGAACTTGATCCTGGTAGACCAAAAGGCTAGTTCCATTATATTTGGAGCTATGTACAAATTAAGCATCCTGTTCTTTAACCGCGTCTGTATATGCTTGGTAAAGTTGATTACGGAATTGGCAAGCCACTCAACTCAAGTCGAAATCTGCTGCAGCTGAAAATCGAAACCAACATCAATGTCTTTAGTCCTTCGGTATATATTTTTGAATTTTGATTCAATTTGAGACATGAGTTAATTGCTTCATTTAAGACATAGAAGCCAAAATGAATTCATTATTTTTGTTAAGGTTAGAAATTTGGTTTAAGTCAAATACAATCATTAAGAAAAAGGAAGGAAGCACCTTGCATGCCAACACTCTAGACAGCCAAATTCCAGCAACACATAACAGAAAATTTTGAATCATACTTATTAATACCAACTGTATTTAATTAAGACGATAAGCAAATAAACAAAATGATAAACCAATCAATTCTTCATAACTCTACAAGCCAAAAAAGAAAAACATCATTCAAAAGCACATGCAGTTTGATGAATGGAAGAGTTATACTGAACAAAAAAAAGCCACTAAAGTTGTGTTGCTGTGTATGCTTGCAATGCAAAGAGAGAGCCAGGAAGGCGCTCTCCCAACAAGAGCACAAAGGCTGTGATTAAGACTAAGGAATAATAATCTTGATCTTAGTTCAAGCAAATGCGACCCCATTTTTCAAAGATGTATGTCCTGTTTTCTATTCAATATGTTCCACTGCTTTCATACAATCCTGTTAATATGTTATATCACCAAAGTCTCAAATTTCTGATCACTAAGCACAACATGAAAGAAAATGGATGAAAAATGAGCACAACGCAACTCTAAACATGACTCATGTGAGGTGATCCAAACGATATCTTGGCAAAACATGAGTTAAACATGAAATTCACCAAGCACTATTGATCAACTCTACCTTTTATCATTAGTAGCTACTTCTTATAATCTAGTCAAGGAATGCAAGAATAGTCATTAACAGGGTAACAAATGCAAAACCTGATGAAAATGACAGTATAAAACCCTTAACTAACCTTTGGAAGATGATGGTACAACAAAAACATGCAATTTCACATGATTAGGAGGAAGAGCCAGCCGCATTGGATAGAGCTTTCCATTCAAAGGACTGCGCGAGCATAATGTAACCTCTGTTAACCCTGTCTCTTCCTCTAACATCTGAGTAAGCTCCTGAACTCCACTCCCTTTGAAATCTACTGAGCGTTCTCCCTCTTCATCAACAATATTTCCATCATCATCCACAACATTATAATGTATAACACGGCCTTCATTTATCACACCCGAAGTACTAAATTCAGCAGGCTGCAAAAGTGTAAATGGATGGAAAAAAAGTCTTAAACATTATATTGTCTTAGGCATGTAATTTCAAAATATCCAGTTTTACAAAAACATGAAACAATTAAAAATGCACAATGAATATAGAATTGATCACATCACACCTTTTTTTTTTCTTTTTTTTTTTTGATAATGACTCCATTTGTACATTGTCCAGTTTCAATTTGACTCATAAATCAAGGTAATGATGATTGAATGCACTAATTTTTTTTCTTATTAATGTTTGGTTTTCAATGAAATGATGACTGGACTGGACTGAGCTGAGCTGAACTGAATTGAACTGAAATGAATATTTTATAAGAGAAGGAAATTAGGAGCTGAGCTGAACTGAATTTCAACGTATAAGAACATCATAACAGGCCCTAAGACATGTAATTTAAAGAGAAATTCAACCTTTTTACTTAATGAATTTAACCTTAATCATTCCAAAACACCCCACTTGTAAGTCATTATGTCAATGTATCAACATTGGTTGCTTAATTAATGATACAATATCACTTGTTACCTTTCAAAGTTTCTATAATTATGCAATAACTTTTTGTTTTGAAGGGAATTATGCAATAAGAGGCACATTACCTTATTGACCACTTCGTATTAAATCAAAAGAAGCAGAAAATTATCATTTTAAGAAAATTGAAATGGTGTTAGATATAATAGAACGAACATTAAAGGAAAAAGCAATATAGTGAGACATTAAATCAAGCCCATGTCACCTAAACACTTAAGATCCCAAACCATCCAATAAAAAGAGTATTTTGTGGGTGTCAACTTTTATAAAATTTAGGATTTTAAATCTTTTCAACATCATTACCTTTGCGGCTCTCTCCACACCCTAACAAAATAAAACAAATCAATTATGCATAACCGTAATTTTTTAAAAAAAAATCATAATATCGCGGCCATTAAAAACACAATCCAATGTTAAAACAAAACTTACCCCAGAAAAAGAAGTGAGAAAAGTAGAAGCATCAAACTGAGACTCACACCTCTCCAACTTACTATCAACATCCTCAACATCTTTAACAACTTGTTGCACAACATCATAAACCTCTAAAACCTCAATCTCCCACAATATCCAATCCTGCGTATGACTCCTACTAGGAACATCATGCGTTATCGAGTTTCGCCACGGCGGTAACCCGCCATTCGCCCTTAAAAAATTACCGTACCTCGTCTTCAACTTCACCTGCATTCCGTCCCTCATAGGCTCCCATTCGATAGACGAATCGAGCCGTCTCGGTAAAGTTTGTTTCACCTTCTTACCTGTAACACCTAGCAAAAACTCGTCGTCTGTTGCTGTTAAATATTTGTCGTAACAGCCTTTAAATCTTACAAGATCGACACCTTCCACCGATTTTACATACTCGACTGTCCATCGTGCGTACTTTGACCCCCCGTGACGGTCTTGGCAGACGGACTCCCCGTCGTCTTCGGCGATTAAGTACTTGTCGTTGTGGCTGCGTAGACGCACTGTTTTTGCATTTTGAAATAACTCCATTCCAGTACTACTCTGTTTTTTCCAAAAAAAACAATCAAAACTATAATAATACCAATAATACCAAATTTGCTGTTGTAGGATTAATTGTATAAACAACCAAAAAATTTATTCTATGATAGCTGAAGATGGTGAAATGGGTGGTAATTTGTGATTTAAATGCAAAATTTGATTCAATTTGTGATTTTTTAATTGACTTGAAATGGGTCTTTTTCAGATTGAACAAAATTTTCTGGGAAATTGAGTTGAAATTTGGAGATTTGATGATGGTTGTTGGGATGTGATTTTTCAACGGTCAGAAGACTGCATAAACCTCGAATTAATCAACAGCAAATTTATCAGGTGAAATGGGCTTTTTTTATCATCTAATTTTATAGAATAAACTGCAAAATTCAACCTAATTGATTTTTTTTTCCTTGATTGAAATGTGTTTTTTTTTGTTTTTTTGGATTGAATAGAATATCTGGGGTTTTGAGTAGAGAATTGTTTTGGATATGAGAATATGATCTGGTGTTTTAACGGTCAATAGAAAATTGGTTGGGGTAGATTTAGAAAAAGGGGAAATTACTTTTTAGTGACAGTTAGAAGTGGATGTAACGATTGCTTAAATTTGCCGTAATTAAAAGGGAATTTCATATGCATTTGCTGGCAATTTCTGTTTTTTAGTTTTTTTTTTTTTTGTCTTGGTCGACAACACGTAAACGCGTATCAGATTCAATTATTGGATCACCTAAACTGAAATTAGCCAGAGAAAAAAAAAAAAAAAAATTCTAATTCTGAAGCTGTGGTTTTAGTTAGGAGTATTAGTTTATCTGAATTATTGAGTACGACTGTACGAGTATTAACGATGTTTTTTTTACTTTCGAGATCATTTTTTACTTTCGAGATCTTTACTGTATTGTGAAATTAGATTCATATTCAATCGTGTTTGTACTTTTCATATGTGCTGGTTATGTTTGGAATCATAGAATAATTAAGATTATCATGGAAGATTATATGATTTAGTCATTGACTTTTGGGTGAGATTGTATTGTTGAGCCTTTGATAGTAGCAGACTGTAGAACGAACAAATAAAAATGACCCAAGTAAAGATGAAAAAAAATGGAACAAAATATTCGATTTTGAAACAAAAACCAAACAAACGCGCACCTTGTAAGCAACAACAGAAGCAGAAGATGTAGATGAGCCTGATGATACTGATGACTGTCGTGACTGATCACTTTCGTCTTCAACAGATGATCTAGAACTATTATACCAAGTTGCATTATCAGCGAGTGAATAAGAAGTCTTGTTATATTCGATACCCTTATTAGTATGGAATAAGGTCTTGGAATTCCTTGGCCAAGAACATTTACCATAATCAACAATTGCTACATCATCATCTAGAATATCCACTACCCAAATCACCCAATCTTGTGTGGCTTTCCTCTCGGGTACATCCACTGTCACCGTGTTCCTCCAAGGTGGAGTCCCTGCGTTGGCTCTGAGGAACTTCCCCGTTATTGGGGACTGCAGCTTGACATAAAAATCTTCACCTATGGGCTGCCATTGTACTGACAGATTGCTGTCTGTCTGCGCGGTCTGCAGTGCCTTCTTTCCTGTCCAGCCCAACAGGAAGGGCTCCTCTGAGGCGGTCAGGAACTTGTCATAGCAGCTCCGAAGGCGGATAGTGTTGGGCTTGTCTTGGACTACCTCGACTATCCAACGGGCCTGCCTAGTGTTCCCGTGTTTGCTCTGCTTGACTGACTCACCATCTGACCCTGCTATCAGGTACTTGTTGTGATGGCTTCTGAGCCTAATGAATTTTGCTTTGATGAAAAACTCCATAAAAAGTTGGAGCTGAGTTTTGATGAGCTTCTTTTATATTATGATTGCTTAATTAAGTGGTGGAGCAGTTACTAGGAAAAAAAAATGGAATGATTCTTGCTTACCTTCAATTTGTCAAAAAAAGAATTGTCACTTGGAATAAAGTTGGCTCGTTGAGAAGCTTTGTACTTCTGATTAAGCAAACTGGTGGATTAGTCTTCTAGCACTACCATTTCAACACCGTGTCAACAAATATTGTTAAAATTGAGGACTATGAACTCCTATTTTATTAGGTCAACCACATCATTTATAAAAGTCATGCATGGTATTGGTACTGGTAAATAGCATTAGCAATTTACAAATTCAAGGATTTGCCCAGTTGTTTACGTTATTGTGTTGCCTCTTTGTCCTCCACGGTCTTTTTACCAAGTTATGAGTTAGCCATGTTTATTCGGTCTTATTGTTTGGTTTGTATGCTTCAATGTGAACATGATTGTATTGGTATTACAATGTAGAATTCAAAGACAAACTTGCATAGGAAAATATAATAGAATGAACAATGATGGAAAGTACTACTATCTTTGCTATCAATATGTACAAAAGAAGGTATGATGTAGAAATAGGAACAAAGAATGGTCTAATATAATCAGAAGCATGAAAATATTGATCCCTACTGCCTTCTGCACAGACGCATAGGCCAAATTGAACCGTCAATCAGCAAGAAACATTGTTTTAATCTTCACCCAATCTTCCTCTACTCTTTCCAGCATTCTGCTGGCCTCAGTTCTCCTCACTTGCCAAGTTCGTTCCTCTTTTCTCATCTCCTCGAGTTTCTGGCTTTTCTGTCCCATTCTTGATATCAGCTCTTCAGCATCAGCCGAATTGTCAGCTTGGGCTTTCTCCAAGTCCATAATGATATTTTCAACTTCTTCAAGTTGCTTCACCAACTCGTCTTTTGCATTTCTTGCAGTTTGTAACTCATCCTGAAATGTCTCTAGCTCACGAGCTTGAGCAGCATCCCTCTTAAGCTCAGCCATAATCTCCGATTTTCTAGTAGAGAATCTAGTGTATTTGATCAAATCTTGGGTGGCTGAAATATGTTCATTCTGCATCACCTTAAGTTGCCCTAGTAAATTGATTAGGTCACCAGGGATTCTGCCTTGGGATTTTGCATCAGCAATAAACACCTTTACGACCCTTTCCAGCTTTTCGCCTCTTTGTGAAGTTAGGATGGTATGGAAATCCAGATCTTTTAGCTCTTTAAGGGTTTTCTTAGCCATTTCGACTTCTACTTGATGAATGTGTTCTGAGTTAGATTTAGCTGGACTTGCTCCTGTGCCTTCAAGTTCATCTTCAAAGGCAGAATACTGTGTTTAGGAAAACGAACACATTATCAGTTTCATTTAAAACATGATTACATGATCAGCAGAGAAAATTAGCTCAATTGAACCACCCCTCATTTCGAAAATGATATTACATTTGGATTACTCTATCAGATTATAGAGGGAAAACTAGTTAGATAATAATACTGGGAATTAAGAAGTTGACAGAAATAATCATGTGTTTCTGATCCTGACTGTTTCCGAAAACTGTGTTTTTCATTGAAACAGAAGAAGAGAAGAAGAATAACTCACCGTAGATTTATGATCTCCTATATCACTCGACATGGAAGAAACATTGCTTTCCCTACTGTCCTCTATAGAACAATCATCAGCCACTCCCGAAAACTGATAATCGATCTCAACTATATCGACGATCCACAGGATCATGTTATCAGTGACAGCCCAATTTCCGGGTTCATCATGGGTTACAGTATTCCTCCAGGGAGGCATCCTTGGGTTAGCCCTTAGATAGCTCCCTTTATGGCTTTTCAGTTTGATATAAGGCCCTTCTTTGATTGGCTCCCACTCTAAAATGGGACCGTGGCTGATCGTCTGCAAGACCTTTTTTCCTGTCATTCCTAGCAGAAATGGATCGTCAGACGCGGTTAAGTACCTGTAACTCCAGCCGCTTCTGATGCGGATCACATTTTCCTTCCCTTCAACAAGCTCATAGACCCAACGGGCTCTGCTCGAGGACTTATCACGGCTCTGCCTGACTCGTTCCTCGTCTTCATCGGCTACCAAGTACTTGTTGTGGTGGCTGCATTTTAGCCGAAACACCTTTGCCCTCTGTAACAAATCCATTTTTCATGAAAGGTGTGTTCTATTGTTCACTATTTTGAGCTATGATTTGGAGAAGGGAAGAAGGAAACATCAGGAAAGATTTGGTCAGACTGACTTTGTCAGCAAACATTAAAACAAATTTTAACGCGTGATTATATAATGTGTTCAGATTATGGAGTACCACACACGTTTTTGATGAATAAAAAAGGTACTTTTCTTTCAAATCCTTATGACTTTTTCTTCCCTTTTTATAGTTAAACAATCTTGGATTGATAATGGATCTTATTCCAATTAAGCAAGATTAAACATTTTATCTAATGTACGCGTTTAATTAGCTGTACAGGTTAATCATACAGTTGTAATAATTAAACATAATAATTGTAAGCTGACACGATTAAACATTTATTTTCTATAAATACATAAAGTTACATTAGGATCAACTGGATTATTCTCTGGCTTCAGATATGCAGATTAGAATTGGCAAGGATTGTACTGGAACTACAGTTTCGTGTCGAATTAAACTGTACTTAGCAAGCTTATTAACTACGGCGTATGGAAGATTAAAAAAAGTGAGAATTATTGTTTGAATTTCATGTAGAAAATGAGAAAATGTAGATTGATATCAAAATGTATGGTATAATCAAATGTAATGTTTTCAAACCGGTGCAAAATTGTAATCAGACATCAGGAAACGAATTTTTAGCCTTTCCCCAATCTTTCTCAACTCTTTCCAGCAATTTCTCAGCCTCATTTTTCCTAACTCGCCATGATATCTCCTTGCTTTCCATTTCCTTAAGCCCCTCGCTCTTCTGTTTTATTCTAGATATTAGCTCTTCAACTTCTACCATACTGTCAGACCGTGCTTTCTCAACTTTTCTGATGGCATTTTCAGTCTCCTCGAGTTGCTTCAATAACTCCTTTCTTTTGGCTCTTGTGTTTACTATTGTGTTGTTGACATTGACCTCCAAATCCTATAGCTCACGAGCCTTAGCTGCATCCTTTTTGAGCTCATCCCTGATCTCTAATCTTTTTGTAGAGAATGTTGAATGCTCGACCAATATTTGAGAGGCCGATTCATGGTCATTCTTCATGGACTTGAGTTGCTCTTGAATGTTGACAAGTTTGCTAGGGATTTTACCTCGGCATATAGATTTTGCATCAGCAATGAGCACATCAACCGCTTTTTCAAGCTTCTTGTCCTGTCCCAAAGACAAGATGGTACAAAATTCTGCATTCTTCAGTTGCTCAAAGGTTTTCTTAGCCCTCTTAAGTGGTTGAACACCTTCAGAGGCAGATTGGGCAGAATACTCAGACACAATGCTTGATTTTGCACCATTTGTTGAGCTGACTTTGGCAGAATGCTAAGATGAACATAAACCCAAAAATGTAGCAGTAGTTAGTCTCCAATTAAAAATATAACCCCGGAAACTTAAGATTTTGCATTCAAGTAACAACAGTAATAAAAAGGAACCAATAGAGAAAACATGTTCACTGATGATCCCATTTAAAACTAAACGAAGCTCATTAGCAATGTACATGTAATTTTTTTATGAAGAGTAACTCTTTAACATAGTCAAGTTTGGTCATTAGGTAATCGGCTTCAATATCAACCTATACAGAATATTAGGTGCTCTGAACAGAATGCACGCTGTACTAGTAACTAGTTGTGTAACTAATTATCAATGTAATGTAGCTAAGCACTACGGCGCTACAAGGGATGACCTGAAATGATCAGAAATTTTAGGGGATAAACAGGAAAGATACCTTTGAAGAGGAACTCACATCTGTAACAGCAGTCTCATCTTGATCAAAGCTACTCATAGGTGAAAGATATGCAGGACTTGAGACTTCCTGACGCGCTACATTGCTGGAAAATGAAGCAGTATCAATCCCCTTAACCTCTTCTGTTGTTGAACAATCACCGTTTTCTATCCTTGATGACTGATAATCAATCTCGACTATATCAACAATCCACAGTGTCATGTTCTCAGTGCCTGTCCAATGACCAGGCTCATCATGGGTGACCGAATTCCTCCAAGGAGGAGGACCTCGGTTAGCCCTTAAGAAACTTCCTGTATGACTTTTAAGTTTAATGTAAGAGCCTTCTTTGATAGGTTCCCACTCTATAGCCGGACCCTGAGTAATCGTCTGTGCAACCTTTTTTCCTGTCATTCCCAATAGAAACGGATCTTCAGTCGCAGCCAAGTACCTCCAGCTGCAACAGCTCCTGAGACGGATGAGTTTAGCTTCCCCACAACAAGCTCGTAGGTCCAACGAGCATTATTGGAGAATTTATCATGACTTTGTTTGATGGTTTCCTCATCTTTGTGAGTTATCAGGTACTTGCTTTGGCCACTGCGCTTTAGCCGGAACACTTTTGCTCTCTGGAAGAATTCCATTTTCTGTAAGGAAAGTATAGTTTAAGTTTGGGCTTTGATTAGAAGAGAAGGAAGGTAAAGCATTGGAAAGGATCTGGTCAAGTTGACTTTATGGTCTTTGTCAATGGGCTTCATAAGGTACTTATTATTGAGGGAAAAAAAGTATATGAAAGAAACAAACATTGAGTTTTGTTATTTTATTAGCAGCTACATTGGATGATACTGTAACATTTTTATTTATTTTTTCTTTTGATTTATTGGAGGTAAAATAAGTGATGTAGACGAGGTTTGATCCCATACCTTGTTACGGATACTAAATGCTAAATATAGGTTCAAGTGCAGGTCTTTGTTTACGATTGGGATGTCCTCAATCACACAGCTATAGCTAACAAGTGTAAGGATTAAAGTGTTCAACTAACTTGCAATCAACCCACAATAGCAATGAACAAACAAGCATAACAATCAAGAACAACTTTGAAGGAATTAAAGCAAGTAAAAGGAAGACAATGTTACCGTGGGAAAACCCGAGAACCGGGAGAAAAAACCCACCCTTGCACTATGGAGTAATATTGATGATGAATGAACTCAAGAATTACAAGCATGAATTGTATAGAATTCAAATGCTCCTCACAAACCCTCTCAAAACCTCTCTATGTGTTTAAATGTTTGTGAATACTCAACAAAGAGGCTTAGAAAAGGTATATATAGTCTAGGTAGAAAAATACAATCTAACGGCTAAGATTAAAGCAAATCGCACAAGCCGAAAACGAAGCGACGAAATAGGGAGCAGGGAGGTTCGGCCAAACCTACCCAGAGTTCGGTCGAACCTGGGATGGTTCGGTCGAACCTCCTTGGGTTTGGTCACTCCTCCTCTAGAAAT